AACTTACAAATACACACATCCAATAATGCCAATACAGTAGTTTAGGTAACTTTTCTATTCGTAAGTGAGTAAAATTCATCGAACTTCATAGTCAACACCTTCCTCTCCTTCAAATCTCTCTTAAAGGCTTACTCCCATCATGATGTTACTACTTCATAAAGGGAAGACAAGGCAGGAGTTTAGCTTCGTGTTATCAAAGCCTAAACACTTTAAAAAGATTATACAGTATGAGGTGATATATGGTTTTCTAGAGTATGATGTAAATTCTGATAGGTAAGACGCCATGAATTTTAGACCTGGTCCTATTCCTCTGTGCACACACCTTCCACCATGCTCTTCAAGGTATGCACTTTTTCTAGAATGGCAGGAAAATGTATGTTGTTTGTTAAATGTGTAACTGCAGGATCAGACACTGTCTAGATCCATTCAGATAACTTTCATCAAGCTCAGCACCTTGAAGTTTAAGTAAAACAAGGGAACAGACATTTATAAAAGTGAAACTATAATTATTGGCACAACTGGCTCCAAAGATAAGCAGATTGAAACCCTCTGGGTCAAACTTTGCGGTGGGGTGAGAGAGGGGGAATGGGGTGTGATGAGTGAGACCTAACTGTAGGCGTTTACTACAGGCCACCAAACTAGGGGGAGGAGCTCAATCTGGAGTTCTCTCAAGGGCAGGCAGAGGCCACACGCGCAAGGGACATGGTAGTCATGGGCAACTTCAGTTACCCAGGCAGATTGGAGGAACACTTGGCTAGGTCAGATTGGTCACATAGCTTCTTAACCTGTATTGAAGAGCTCTATCTGACCCAGGAGGTACAAGCACCAACCAGAGGCAGCACCTCCTAGACCTGATCTTGGCCAAAGGAGTTGATCTGGTGAGCGACTTGAATATTAAGGGTGGGCGATAGCGACCATGAGATCATATTCACTGTTCACTACAAGGCAGACAAATCAGCAAGCAAGATTGAAGTCCTGGACTTCAAAAACACAAATTTCAACAGGTTTAAGGTAATAGTAGGGGAGGCCAGGTGGGACCAGGGACTGAAGGCAAATGAAGTGCATGAAGAGTGGTCGTTTCTCAAGGACACAATCCTCAAAGCACAAAAGAAGACCTTTCCTGTGCAGAGGAAAGGTAGCAGAAGGACTGGCAAGCCCACTTGGCTTAATAGGGCTATCATGGTCCTCTTGAAAAAGGAAAAAGAGGCATACACACAATGGAAGCTTGGGATAGTCCTCAAGGAGGACTATACAACAGCAGTCCACACATGTTGGGAGAAGATTAGGAAAGTTAAGGCGGTGACTGAATTTAAGTTAGCAATGGGAAGCAAGGACAATAAGAAGTCCTTCTTTAGGTATGTAGGGAGCAGAAGAAAAACAAATGGAAGCGTGGGGCCCCTGCTTAACACCTCAGGACAGTTGGTAACTGACACTCAGGAAAAAAATGAACTCTTGAATGCCCAGGAAAAAAATGAACTCCTGTATTTCACTGGACCAAGGGCAAAAACATGCTAGATAAGGCTCACAGGAGTCACGATGGGAATGATTGCCTTCCTACTGTTGACACTGAGCTGGTGCATAACCAACTAGAAAAGCTAGACATTTATTAGTCAGAAGGACCGAATGACCTCCACCCAAGCGTACTGAAGGAGCTGGCCAAGGTCATTGCGGGACACCTGGCAAAACTTTCCCAAAGCTCGTGGTGCACTGGGGAGATCCCTGAGGATTGGAAGAGGGCCAATACTGTGCCCATCTTCAACAAGGGGAGAGGGAGGACCCAGGCAACTATAGACCAATCAATCTAACTTCTATCCCAGGGAAAATCTTAGAAAAACTCATCAAGGAGTCTATGTGCTATATGCTTGCAGAGGGCAGGATTCCAAACAACAGCCAGCATGGACTCATCACAGGCAGGTCTTGTTTTACCAATCTCATCTCCTTCTATGGCCAGGTATCTCATCTCCTGGACATGGGAGAGGAGATCAACATTATATACCTAGACTTCCAAAAGGCCTTTGATCTAGTATCCCATGATATCCTCACGGGAAAATTGAAAGATTGTGGGCTTAAGTGCTCAATGGTTAAGTTGGTAGGAAGTTGGCTGCAAGGTAGGACCCAGAGAGTTCTAATGAATGGATCTGTGTCGTCCTGGCAAGACGTGGCCAGTGATATCCCTCAGGGGTCCGTGTTTGGACAGGTGCTGTTCAATGTCTTTATCAATTATTTGGATGTGGGGATGAAGAGTAGGGCTGTGCAAAATTTTGCCAGCAGTTTCGTTTTGACGCTGTTTCAACTTGTTTTGAGCTCCAAACAGCGACATTGAAACAAAACAGAGAGCTTTGAAACAGCCTCAAAATGAAACAAGGCAAGGCAATAAGGCATAAATGATCTAGTTCAACAAGTTACTAAATTCAACATAGGATTCCTGGGTAAAATTCTACACCTTCCATTATTGTCCTGACATTTAGTTTTACAATCTATGAATCCATGTTGCATAAACAGATGTAAAGCTATAGAGGACTGTAAAAACATAGAATAGTGTTTTTAGTTTTCAGTATTTAAACCCTTATGTTTTAGATATTTCCTTCTAGTATTCAAGGCTCAATAAAGGGAAATGAAGCCAAAGGGAAAGGATGTGGAAGGGAAAAAGAGGAGTAATTAAAACAAACTGTTATTTCTTCTCTTATCACACTGAGGTATCACATAACCTTGATCAGTGTGACAATTTTTGTCCTATAGTTAATCTTTGTTATTTAGAACACCACTATTCAAACACTCTGTTAAACATTATTTTTCCCATTGACTTCGTATCTCAGAAGAGCCTTATTGGACAGCTAAACACTTAGCTAATGTTTTACTCCATGTTTTTATTAGACCCTGGCTGGAAAAAACAAAACAAAAACTGTCGGTTTAATCTCTCCTTTCTTTACATAGTAAAAACTCATCTATCCACGTACTTGATGTCTTCATTCTATTTTCCATATAAGAGAAAAAACTCTGCTGCATCCTGTTTTAGACTAGCACAGAGCTGTGGAGGGATTAATTTGAAGGTCTTTGGTATTCACACTGCACTAGGGAAGCTGCAGAGATATGTGCATTTAAATCTAGTATTCAGCTAATGCTCACCGTTCTCATTGCATCAAGCATGGGGGCATGATTTACAAAGACCAGAAGAAGTTGCAGAGTCACTCAATCACAATTGGTATTTAACTTAATGATGCAGAACCAGAGAATTTGCTAACAGATTAGCCAAAGACTGTCTGTGTCAGATGGAAATAAAGTAGCACTTTTCCAATTGATAATTGGGATTTCTTTTGCACCAATAAATGTAGGCATATTGGCTTTTATAACTGCAGAGGTTCAGAGTTTAAAATATATCCTACTGATTTTCTGTTGACAGTTTGCAGCTGCCCAAAAGCACACTGGCTTTTGTGACTCCTATTCTCAGGTTCCCAGACGGTATGCCTCTATCTCAGTGACACCATACCCAGGTCACGGTGTACCTAAACATGCTTTGTCCACCTGCTCCAATTTATATCTTCCAAACCTGGGAATATAATGGTGAAATACCCCCTGGAGCATCAGTATGTGGCCACTCTTCAGTGTTTTTCAGAGCAGTTGCTGAGAATGACTCCAGAGTGGCTTCTTCAGCATTCATGTGGTTTTGGACTGCAGGAATGGGTGGGCATAGCACGTTCAGAAATATCCCAGCCAGGGGATGCTGACGCCCAGGTGTATGCACAACCTCCCTCCTTCTAGACATTAGATAAGAAGCCTAAGGGCCTCCCTCAGAGCTGTGTTTTCCACCCCAGCGGGGCAGCTGTAACATCTGACTCCTTTTGTGAACTAAGGAACTACTGTAATGTTAACTCATTACTATGACAAACAATAGTTGTTTCCTGTGCATTGTGTCAGAGGAAACTCAGCGTTTAAGGTAAAAACAGTTCACAAAGACACAATATTTTTCTCCTTTTCCTTGTAACCTTGAAATTCTAGCAGCACTGAATTATGAAATCACAATATAAAAAGCAGGACAAAGCTTGGCAGGCTCGTGCAGAGATGCCATTGAGGGAGAACATTTCGGATCATAGGTCCCCCTGCTCAAGGCAGGCTCATCCCTGACTAAACCATTCAGCCAAATGTCTGCCAAAACTACTGTGGTTTGGTAGCCAGAGTGATGGGGGAAGCATTAGCCAGGAGCCTGAGGAGCCACAACTTATCTCCTTACAGACTACCAGTTGAACAGTAAATGGGGAAACTTTCTACACGTCTATTTATAACACCTACAAGAGACACTTGCCTTCATGGCCTGACAACCTCTTTGGGTCAAAAAGCAAAATAAATATGGAGGGTTCAACTTAGTTGTTGTGGCCATCTAACCGTGGCATAAAGTCATCATGTATTGTGGAAATTATTGTTAAAAAGAAGCCCAGGCGTGAGATAATAGCATTGTTGCAGTCCAGGGCTGAGTTGCATTGGCAAAGCTGTCATGGGATATTTTTATAACACCTGCTTGGCTCTACTGTGTGCTATGAATCTTTCCCCTCAGCAAGGTTTAAATTTTACCTTGAACTGCCAGCAAAGCTTCATTATAGCACTCTCTAAGAATGGAAATGCTACCAAGAAGGCTTTTAATTAATTAGAATAAAAGCTGTAGGAGGAGAACAAGAGAAAGGACCCTAGATTCAAACCTGCCCCTGTATCTCATGTTGTTAACCTCTTGTGCTACTCTGTGTAAGAACAATATGTGCCCTTACTAAAATACTAATGTGCTGTCCTCGACTTTATTTAACTGCAGTAGAAAGCTGTCAGTAGTTAATAATGAAAGGGTTAATCAATTTGTAAGACTGGGGCTTGGAAGACTGAGACTTGGAACTCTGCCTCTGCATGGCTTTTACCTCTAAGCAGTGCCAATGCAGCAGCTGTTTTACATTTAAGAGCACATAAGTGAGTAGTGACTTTGTTTGCAGAAGATAAACCAGCCAACATCCCACACACACCTGTGAATGTTCCATGATTCTGCTTGTTCCGTGCACTGCAAAAAGCCAGTTCTCGCTCTAAATTTTCCACTAAACAGAAAAATAAGTAAGAATGAAAGCAATTGATTCCATGTCACATTTGCTTATTTAGTTACATATTTACTTTGCTCCTAAATGCATGGATTTTTCTTTCCGAGTAAAATGCACACACAAATATCATGTACATATACAATATGTCCTATATAGTTTGGCTATTTTTATATATGTATAACATTTATAATACACAATTTACATAAATTTATGTGCATTGATAACTCATGTAAAGAGGAAGTTCAGGTTGAGGATGTGTATTAGAAATCTCTTGGTAAAATGATACAAATAAAAGCTTGCTATATTGAAACTCTTGCACTAAGAACCCAAGAAAATCAGCGTTAAGGTTAATTTTTAAAAAAAAATCCAAACTCCCTAAGGCATAGAAATACACAGAAATACACAGCTAAGGCAATACAATAATAAATATGCACTGAAGTGAGCAAGAATAACTTAAAATCTAGACTAGGTACAGACATTACACATAAACTGGTATAAGCAATCGGAAATGGGTCTAAGCCTATAATAGAACAGAAGCTCACCACACACATAGATCAGTTTCAAAATGGCAGAACCCAGTCTAAGATAGATCTGGATGGAAGTAGTATTAGATTTAACTGATTTAGGTTACAGCAGTATATTGAGCTTCTGTTCCCATAGCATATCAACTTAGTTCACTGTCCTCCAGTATCCCAGGTGCCCCTCACAGAGTGGAGTGCTAGTCTTGACTAGTGCTTGTCTGCTCTGAGTTAGCACCAGGCCAGCCGCATCCATGGGCTGTCACAGACGGGCACCAGAATAGTCTATGTCTCCTGCCTGTGAGGATAGGCAGGGGGGTGGGGGAACAGAGCACCCCTGCTGCACAGCCCTATCCCTGAGCCAAAACAATGGGAAGGGAGGGCTCATGCAGTGGGAGGGATCCACTCCCCCCTTCCCTGCCCCAAGTTCCCAGCATGGTGGACAGGCACACAGCTCCAAGCAGTGGCTCCTGGCTGCAGCTGACCAGGGGGGAGGAGGGGCAACAGAGCTCTCCTGCCATGTTGGCCCAGCCCCACAGCCAGCAAGCTCAGGTGGCCTGCACAGCAGTGGATGCTGGTGACAACCAGCCTGGATGCTGCTGACACCTGCAGCCAGGAGCAATGGCTCTGAGCTTGTTGTCTGCCACACTGGAAACTGGGGACAAGGAGTGGGGTGGAGGCGGGAAGGAGCAGAGCCCTCCACCATGTGAACCCAACCCAGAACTCCCCCTGGCCCCAAGCCAACAAGCCCCCTCCCCACCCCCAGTTCCCAGTGCTTCAGGCAACCACATGGCCCCAGCTCCAGCTTCCTCAGACCTGAGCCAACAGCTGGCAGAGGAGCAGGGCTGGAGCTGTGCTGGGCACTCAGGACTGGCTGCCTGCTTGGCTGCTCATCTGGGCTCAGGATTCTCTGGGAGCTGTAAATACCCCCAGCCTGCTGGTTTAAGCCTGTGCAGATCACCTCTGTACCCTGCCTCCCACCCCTCAAGGGCATACGTGAGTTCTGTTCACTCTTAGACTAATCTAGGGCTCTTAGAAAAAGCCACAAAAGTTAATGCAAATCCACCTCACACTTTTTGAATTTCTATACCTAGCCCTAATGGTTAAAATTCAGTTTAATTTACTCAGGGATCACAAGCACTGAACTGTTTTTATCATGGTTGCATGGTGTCACAAAAGATAGAGTCAAGTCTGTCATGATTTATGCCCGACATGATTTATGCCATGATTTATGCTGCCCAGTCCTAAGGAAAGCACAGTGCATCCCCAAGCCTCGCTGTCTGAAGGGAAGAGAATTGTCCACATCAAGCTTCTGAAACCTTGGATTGGAAGTACATGGGTCACTTTTGACCACTGTCCTAGAACAAATGTTGAATGTCATGTACTATAACGTTGTAATGAAGTAGTGAAGTACAGCTCCCAGAAGCCTCCATGGGACTGGAGGTAGGAACTGTAACATGTACTACAATTCCCAGAAGGTTGCAGGGGATGGGAGAAAAAAAAAACAAAACAGCAAGGGAGTGTGGGATGCCATGGCTGAGAGAGGTACATGGCTAGAGACTCAGAATATGAGCTGCAGCAGGGGGGCCTTGGAAGTCTTGGCAGATGGCAATTAAGCATTTTTGGGAACAGAGACTGGTGGGGAGGCCCTCTGGAGTTGTGGGAGGGTATAAGGCTTTTCAAACGTATATCCTGTGGTATTCATGTTCCCTAAATGTTACCTGTTCTTGGGTGATTTCACCAAAGTCTCACTGTTTTTTATCTGTTGCCTGGATTGTTTGTGTATGTACCTTAATGTTAATGTTTATTCATCTCTGCCTGTTCCTTTCTCTCTAATCTGTTTGCTTGTGACCCAAATCCCCAGCATCCCCTAATAAAAATGAGAACTTCCTTTGCTGACTTCCTGTGCCAGGTCCTGGGATGGTGAGGTTTGGTATAGAACCAAGGACATGGCAGAAAAGGTAGATGTCAGAGTGAGGAGTTCATGGGTGCATGACAGTATTTTCTGGGGCAGACCTATCTACCTGGGCTACTGGACAAATTCCTGCCACATCACATTAACATCCTGCCAGGCAAAAAACACTCCTGTGACCTGTCAAAAGATAAAATATCTCATTTAAAAGGTGGGGGGGGAGCAAGGGGGAGCAAGAAGAGAGAATTATGGATTTATGTAGCTGAAAATGGGCTAATAAACCTATGGTATTTTGAGCTAAGATTCTTATGCTGCTTTTTCTAGTATCCTTTTTTTTTCTTTTCTACTTCAAAGTGGTAGTGTCTATATATGCATTAATGCACTTTTCCTAATGAGTGTTATATTTAGTACATCCAATATGAGGTACTAAATAAATGCATATTTGGCTCCGCTATTGTGCAGTAGTGCAAATGCATGTTTTTTAGGTGATGCTTAATGTTCAGTAGCCTATTTTGCTGTGCATTAGCATGTTAGCACAGTTTTTTACATGCTGCTTTAATGTGCAGTAGAATAGGCTACTGCTCAAGAAAGCGTACATGTAGACGCACTCAGTGAGGAGTATTCAATTCTGTTTTCTTCTACCCTGCTTGATCTTGAGAACCTTTTCTGTTTAGTTAGTCTAGGCACTTAGTTTCTGAGATAGGACTATTAGCTAATTCTCTACATGGGAATAATTCCCCAGACTTTGAATAACTCTTTTTACTGATCATACTTTTGGGATTAGGGTTGTGCTGTTCCCATCACTATCTATGGTCATGTCTTTATCTTTAATATATACCATGTTAGTGATAGAGTGAGACATGAAGCACTTAAACTAATGACAAGCACTTATATTAATGACACAAGCAAGTGTCAGCAGCAGCAAAGTAATCATAAGTACTCAAGTGTTTGTAAACCAAGTTAAATGAAGATAAGAGCACACCATAATCCCTAGCAGTATCCAGATCCAATGCCAATGAAGGTGAGAAAATTCCTTTAGTGGTATAACTGCCCCTACCTCATGGCGTGGAGTGGTGCAGGGGAGCTCTGCTACACAGATCTTCTAGGATTTTGGTAGCTTGTTGGAAGTACACCTTGCTGGGAGGCAAGTGCTGTAGGTAAAACAAGCACTTTTGTTTACCATGTTTAATTGCCTCACAGTGTGGAGACTGCAGGAGCCATTTTGCAATAGCACTCCAGTTTAGCTTGTCGGAGAAAACATACCGCATGTGCTTCCTCATGGAGACTTCAATTCAATCATTTGTTTTATCCTTCTCAATCTAAAATAAATTTGTTCTGATTTAAGGTATTTTATCGAGTAAAGGTTTGACAGAAATAGCACTGCTAGCTCTCTTACATTGGTAGTTTGGTGAATAGTTGCTATTACTTTCTTTGCAAAGGAAATTGGGCAGGTGGCAAGTGTAGCTGAGAGCTGCATTTATTTTTAGTGGGGAATAGGACTCTAATACTCAAATGAAAGTTTGCTGCTGCTTCTCACCTGTTATGGTAGTGCTGAAATGAAACAATCTTGTTCTGACATCCTTTTATTTTGGTTTATATATTCAGAGATTGTCATTTGAGCTGTAGAGTATCTCTATATTCATATGTGTGTGTATGTATGTACACACTCATACACATATATGAATATACAGACATGCACACAGAGTGTATATGTACATATACAGATATACGCATACATAGGAAGGGTATGTTTTTGCATGGGTATATATGCGCGCATATGTATATACACTTTATGTTTTGTGTTCCCCAAGCAGGTGAATGCAACTGTTGAATCAGGTATCTATGGTAAATAAGTGCAGTTATAAATGTGATATTTCTTTGGGGTAAATATTCAGCAGTGTTGACATGCAAATCACTCTTCTGGCCAATATTCCTATCACTGAACTCATGTACTAGAATTGGGGATCAGATCATGCAGCTCTCCCTAGCCTGAATCAACCATGTTTTCATCTACCAAGCCCTGGTTCCTTGCCAGATGTGGTCATAGCTCCTTCTTCTGCTTCATCGACTCAATAACAAGAACATTTGTGAAAAGCAAATGGAAAGGACAACATGGACAGACCATTTTTGTTTACAAGTGAAAATGAATATTCATGATTAAGCATGTGTAACATTATCTTAACTCTGTTCAGGGCCTTGTGTAGGTACAGCTAGTTATGTCCTGAGTGCATACTCTTTGTTAATATTACCTTTACACAATACACACTACAGTTACAGCCAGCAACAGAAAGCAAGATAGAGATTCAAGAAAAAATGTAAAAAATAAAGGGAATTAATAAGGTAAAGGACCATATAGGCTGAACACCAGGAAAACCTTGTCAGCAGTGAGATGATGTAGAGAAAGTTAAGTCTCCTGAAGAAAGTGATGAAAGTTTCATTTCTTGGGATAGTTAAAACTAGACTGAAAATAGAGGGTAGGGAACTCTCTTCCAGTGGCATGGGGGATGGAGTGGATGATTTCACAGACTTTTCCAGCTAATCCCTAGGATTTTTAAAGGACTTGTATGCAGAATCTTAGAGAAGGGCAGCAGAGGAGACTCAAGACATGTGCAAGGTTGATGCTCTTGAGCATCTGTACATACCACAGGTTTTAATCCTCATTAAATTAAATAGATTTATAAAATTTAAACTTGTTTATTTTGGAGCATCACATCTATGTTTACACACACTAGGTTTTCAAATGAATTAGCCTTGGAGCATTGTATCTGTGTTTACATGCACCAGGTTTTAAAACAAATTAAGCCAAGTCCCTGGCCAGTGCTGCAGGAGAGTGGGACAGTCCAATGCTGCCCTCCCCGGCCTGGGCCCCCCTCCCCTTTCCTCCCCACCCCATGCCCATGCCCTGCCACACAGCTTTGGAATCAGGGAGCCAGCAAAACACACAACAAACAAACAAAAAAAGCAGAAGCAATTTGAAAGTGAAAGCAGTTTGAAGGGGTGAACTACAAAAAAGTTGCAGTGACAACTGGTGGACAAATTACATGTGGCTCATTACACATCTTTGAGTGACTTTGTGTTTGCACGCAACGAGTCCATGGACATGACACTTTAATTTCCGGTGAGCCAAACTCAACTACATCCAAGGAGTTTTAGATTAATGCACAAGAAAAAAATTTTAAAGCATCAGGAAATCCCACTCATGCAAACAGACACCAAATTGCAGTGCATGAAAAGGCAAAAATCATGGCATGTACATGAGCCCTTTCTGTTAAACCAGCTTAGAATGCTTTATATCATTTCTTTCTGGCAGGTCCCACCAGTGAGGTTAATGACACTTCAGCTGACAAGAATAATAAATGGAAATTTAAAGACTGATTCTTAAGCAATTAGGAATGTATGTCATTTAGAAAATGACATACTGAACTCAATTTTTCTTTGAAGAGCAATTGTACCAAATGTAAAGCTAAATCAAGGTATAACAGTATGGAACATTGTTCACATTAGTAGGCATTACAATTCAAGATATTAATCATTACACTATTAACAGGGACTATTTGCATTAATTAGCATTAATCAATCGATTATTGCAATCAATGAATACTTGACAATTAATTATGGACCGGAAGTATTTTAATCCTGCTTTGGCTGCAAATCTCAGCACAGCTTTAACCATGGAGCTGTAACTAACACATCCACAATATTAGTGTAAAAAAAATAGGGACAAGTGATGAAATGGCAATGTTTAGATAATAAATCACTGGAAAGAGATAATACAGTTTTTTTTAATTCTTGTAATTTGTTGTGATAGTCGGCATTTTCCTGAAATTCCCTGCTCTGGGGATCGTGAAGTCAAATGCCAGTCTCAAATAGATAAATATCTATGTCATATTCAAGAGTTGTACAGCAAAGCTCCAAAACAAGACTCAGATAGATGCCCTAGAGATTTAAATGCCAGAAGATAAATCTAAGGCTCCAATCTTTTTATTTCTTTTTAGACCTTGTGATTTTCTTAGGCCTGACAGTTTTTGAAAGCTTGGGGTTGTCAGCACATAGCTTTGCTAGTTTATTTCTTGAGCCCATTTCAGAATGTCAAGTTAAGGAATACATGTTTTAATTGTGCTAAGTGATTAAGTTAAAAATGTACAGTTATTTCCATTTTGCTATTCAATTTCCTGAAAAGCAGCAGCAGCTTTAGCAGTTCCTTTTTTATCATACTCAAACAACCTGCTAATGCTTTAGCTTCCCATATATATGTTGCCAGTCTCAAGGGGGTTTAATCACAAAATGATTGATACCCCTAGTTAAACAGAACATTAGCTTAATTATGTATGAAACTGTAGCAGAGTTGTTAACTTAGGTACAAATGTTTTCCTTAAAGAGCAACTGAAGTTGCCTTGCTTTGTATCAGAATTGCTTCACTAATCTCTCAACACATTTTTCCTTCACATGAATCTTCTTCTGATGAACATTCATTAGACACATTGCAATTGATCTCTGCCCATTGCTGTTGATGACTGTTTTGACTCTTTGCAGCGTATTGAAGGGATATTCAACAGTGTAACTTGTGGCCAGAAAAGTAAGAGAAATCAGGATGTTTGTGTGGCTGGTTGGCTCAAGTTCAATGCGTTCAAAACTGCTAACATAGCTCAAATGTCCCACGCTCACTCCTGATTGCCTTACATCTCTGGCCAGGAAGTTGCTGTTTCTGAATATAGACATATACTGCAAATGCCTTTTGCAGGTTTCTAAAAAGTCATTTCCATCTGAGGCACTTAGGGTAGAAACAGACATTGCAAAATCAAAGCAGGTCAGCTATGGCAGGATGCATCCCACTACAGCTGATCCACTTTATTGGGCAAAACACATCACCACTTGTTCTTCATCCTGCAGAGTCCTGATGTGGGAAAAGGGGCTACATGTTCTAGTTGCCAGGGGCTGCCCTGCAGCTCCTTTCCAGACCCGCGATGACCTGTGCCTCTCAAGTGAAGCACCAGTAGATGTAGGTCCCACCAAGGAGGCATATAGCAGTGCAGGAGCTGTGGAATTCCCTGTGCCCCCACACTGGGACCTGTGCTGACCCATGCTTCATACTACTTCATGCTTCTGTGCTGGGACTCATGTTAACCCATACCTCCACATGAAGTATGGACCTGCACAGGGCATGGCACAGGTCCCAGCATGGAGGCACAGGGCACCAGGAATTGCCCAGCTCCCATACTGCCATGTGCCACACAAGGGCACATCTCTTTAAGCAGAAAAAGCTTGAGATTCTCAACTTATGGGGAGACACCCCCAGGATCTCCCCAGCATGTCTGCTTAAACAGAAAACTCTTGGCTTTCCCTGCATAAAGACATGCTTCAGGGAGATCCTTGGGGTTTATCTCCATAAATGGGGATCCCTGAACTTTCGCTGCTTACTGAGATGTGCCCCAAGATTCCCCAGGGTTCATCTTTGCAGGAAAACTTAGGGAAGCTAGGTAGGTGTCAAGACTTGGTCCCATATATTTGGCTCTGGGACTCAGGGAACAGCTCAGCCCTCTACCAGGTCACTGCTCATAAAGGAAAGGAAAGTGCCAAGGAAAGGGGCCCTTCTGGGGGAAGGCCTTCTACTTTTATTAGCCTAGGGCTTCAGCTTCTAATTGGATCCTCCTGCCTACCAAAGACTTCCTGTTGTTTAGGGAAGATGTTCAGATAACAAAACATCTATTGTCTTTGGACCGTTTTGCCATTTCCCTGCCTTGTGCTCTTCTTATTCTTGATCTGACCAGCTGTTGCTGACCCTGTTGGGACTTTGACCTCCACCTCTGCCTTGTATCTTGGATTATTGGAACTAGATTCTCATAGGTATCTGACTCAGCTTGCTCTCTGACCTTGCTCTGTCTAATGTTTTGGCCTGGGTCAGATTCTGACCATCTGGCTTTGACCCTGGCTATCCCTTGAACCTTAACAGCTTGTGCAAACTGTCAGCCAGACTGCCTATGCCTCAGTATGTGACAGCAGGTGCTCCCAGGGCTTGATGGGCTGGTCCTACCCAGGGAATTCCCAATGTGTACAGGATTGGGCCCCTCAAGCCTTTGCAGTACCTGTCTAGGGAGGAGGGAGAGCATGGGCAGCTAAAGCTGCCTGCGCTCTTCCACCACCAAGCAAACAAGCATCTGTCACAATAAAATGACACAATCTATTACTACCATAGTTACAGCCACACATTTTTGGTGTTTGTGACAGAACACGGGGCATGGCCATCTGTTTGCCTTTGTGTTTATGCCACCATAAAAAGTTTACAGTAGCACAAAGGTGAGGAAAGGCAATGTCTGTTTCCATAGGACATGGGGCTCTGAGTAACTTAATCCATGGTTGTTTTCTTCAGAGACTCAGTGCTAAAAATTGGAAGCAAGGAATCCAAATATGTAGGAAACTCCTGGTCAAGCTATTTCTCCGGGGAATGTTGTTTCAGCTATATATCACCTAATGATTGCCCTTTCACAAGAGGAAATCCTTGGAGAGCTGGTTGAGGTAGTTTGCTGCTGTTTTGTGGTGTTTGAGTGGTGCAGAATAGCCAGACTAAACCAAAAAAATCAAGTCCTTAGTGTTTTTCTAAGTCTTCCAGGCAACAAAAACTGCGGCAAGGATCAGATTCAATTCTTGACATATGTAGATAACAACTTATATCAATGTCCTTTTGAAAACAAGGGCCAAGTATAGAAGGATCTTATATTAAATCATATGGGGTTTAAATACTGGCGTAACTTTTTCTTTATTGTAGTTGTGTTTAATTAGCAAAAGACTGAGCCATGTAGTGGATGCTGGACCCATTGAATATTACTATAATTACTGGCATATGTTCTGAACCAGTGAGAGTGCTCTGGTGTCCCACCATTCACAGTAGTATAAATGGTCCCTTGGGAAACAGTGATGTCTTAATGGCACTGTTGACATCTCCCAGTACCTATAAAGGAGGGAAAATTTCCTGAAATGCTGTATCCACAGAAATGGTATCCACTGGTACAGAGGGATGTCAGGGTAAACACAACAAACTAGCTTAGTTAAAGGCCTTAGAAAAACTTGTGTTCTGTTGAAATCCGAACCTTTCTGGGCTCAGGTTGACAAAAGTTTTCCTAGACCTTGTGCTTGTTGTCTTTAATGGAAAGCATTCAATAAAAGACTTGCAGGCTGCACTGAAAGAGTTAAACATTTCTCAACTAAATAGAACTAATTTATCTGAAATATCTAATGCTTTTCCACTAACACATGCTTACAGCAAAGCAGACTTATTAGTCAATGTATTCATAAAAATTACGCAGTCTGTACTGCTAGCTTCAAAGTAAAAAGGCTTTTCATTACAACCTTATTTTTCTTCTTTCCTTCTAATTACTATTTGGCTGAAGAAAGTTACAACTCTATTTCTAACATTGCTTGCCTCCAGTTCATCAGCATAAAACCATTATAACAAATAAAAAAAAAAGTTAATCTATCTTCTCACCCCAGATGTCTAGAAAGAAGATTAGAGCATCCACTCCAGTAAATAATCCATGTCCATCCTAACAAATGAGGCTGTACTGCTCTTCCAAAGTTTTTTTGCATCCCAGACTTCAATATTCTCTTTATACTCAATAACAGAATGGCCACCATTGCCGATAGAGTTGTCCTCTCATGCTAGAAATGACTGAGATGCTGGCTTGCAAGTCTTTTATGAATAAAACACAGCTATTTATATCCTGAGTACTGCACAGCAATGATGGGAAGTGAATCATCAAAGATGTTTTGATTGCATGAATAAGATTCAATTTCAAGTTTGTCCTCATGATTCAAATATTCTTCCCTTGAGATGTATACAGGCAGTCCTTTGATACTGAGGCAGCTGTACATATTATGGTTATGATCCTTTTTAGATCCTACAAACTAAGCAAGTAAGAGTCTGAGCAGTACTTATGTAGGGGAGACCTCTACATTTTAAATCTAGTATGCTCATGGTACATGTAATTCAGTACATGGCAGATTTTTCCTTGTAAATCTGTACTAAACAAGTGGTACGAAATGCTGTTGTGGATCCTGCTACTGTAGGGACTACTCTAGACTTTGTAGCTCCTATAGTAGCAGCATCCCCAACAACTTCCCATACAGCTTGTCCAGTGTAGATACTGGACTCACCTCAGCACCATAACTGACCCCTATGCAGGGGGTCAAACTCAATGATCTATTGAAGTCCCTTCCTACCCTAACATCTATGAATCTGTGAATCTATAACAATCAAGAAACAGCAGCAAACCTTCATCTGAGTACTAGTTTCCCAGTTTTCTTTGCAAAGAAATTAATAGCAACCATTCACCAAACTGCCAATATAAGAGAGCTAGCAGTGCTATTTCTGTCAAACCTTTACCTGATAAGGCCTTCAATCAGAACAACTTTATTTTAGATGAGAAGGCCAAAAGAAATGACTGAATTAAAATCTCAGTGAGGAAGCACATGCAATACATTTTTCTAAGTCTTCCTGGCTTGCTTGAAGAACTCAAGGGGCTGCCTGCAAGAATGGACTCACCATGCTTACCAAAAATAAAAGATCAAAGTCTGCCCATGCCCATTAGGCTAGCATGGTCCAAACATGCCACATAAGTGTAACCGTGAGCACACTCAGGAATGACGTGGCTGTTGCCATGTCCAGCAGATGCACCCCTCAGCCTAAATGACCTATTTACAACTGGGTTGACTATAGGAACTCCAGCAAGATGCCTTAGTTGTTTGGCTGCTATGCCACCTGCCTTATCTTGATAACCTGCTTAAATTCCAATTTGGGTGATTACATTCTGCCTACCCAAATCCTGAAATCAATTGGAATATCTCTTTGTTCTAGTCTAGTTTTGCAGTGACTAATACAGCAATGACATGTTCCAAACCAGAAGTATAAATCAGTGGAGAAAGATGGAAATGTTTTTTGAACTGCCAAAGTTATTTGTGATCATTAAAGATCACAGACGCTACCTAATTGCACTGATTACTATTCTTTATTGTCCCTTTTATAATAAATTAGTAAGATCCCATCATTAAAAGTGGTAAAAAAATAGGCTTTAAAGACTTCTGGTAGCATTATTTACACTAGAAAACCTTGAGGAATGCAAAGAAATTTGACTAAATGGTTTCACTCTTACCCATTTCTGAAAAGCTTAAAACTTGCAGCCTCAGAATTTAGCACACTAATTTCTGCACTATAAAATCCTCAAAAAAAAATTGTTCATGAAGAATCTGGATGATTGCCCATATTTTTCAATTTCTGCTGCTGCCTTTGTTGATGATACATTCTCTGTCACATTTAGTTCTGCTAGGTAACAGTGAAGCTACTTCATATAGAAACAAAGAACAGCAGGAAAGTCACTTGTTATATAGGTCCCTGTATGGTATGCATACCATGGAGATCAGCTTGAACTGGAATCTATTTTGTGTAATCAAAACATCTTTGACTCACTTCCTATCCTTGCTGTGTAGTATTCAAGATACAAACAGTGGTGTTTATACATAATATGTAGCATTTCACCTGAATGTTCCTTTTATTTTTGCACATATTATCTCTTACAGTTTTAAACTCTGTTCTTTGTGTTATCTCATTGACCACTGCAAACTTGAAGCACATACTTACCCTTATTTACAAGCATCCCCATTGTTTTCCAGTCACATTGATTTCTCTGATCCAACAATAGACTTTTTTGCAAAACCATGTTAGCTTCCATTAGGACTACTGGCACTCTTTTCCTATGCATCTCTTTCCCTTGTTTGTATCAACTAACATCTGATGCTGTTACATCATCCCTCCACAAAAGCCTTTGCCCCACCTTGACTCCAAATGAGTATCTTCCATCTGTCTTTGTATAGTCTCTTGTCCAGCCAGGGTATCCCTGGAGTTTCTGTTTTGGGGCTTCGTCATTGTCTGTAGTTATGTACGATGGCTTAAGATACATTGGGTAAATATCATATTGTATTGCATATAACCCACGCATTTTCCTCAAAACTAACTGGTGGAAATTTGAGTGCCATTGCAAGTAATGCTGCCATTACTCCCCTGTCCAAATTTTCAGACCCTGGCTGGGTGATATTACCTTGTGAGCTGAATAGCACGGGACCAGTCCACAACTATAGCTAGCACATCCCTGTGCCAGAAGGGGAAGGTTTGCAGGGCTAGTGCCTGGAACTGAGCTGTGGTTGTTGGTGCTTGCTTCCTGGTCCCCTCCCTGAGCCCTGCACCCTCACAGCTGGAATGAAAGCAGTAGACAGAGCAGCCTGCAGTCTCAGGCTTCAAGGCAAAGCAAGTGTTTCTGCTTTGGAAAACAGCCCATGGCTACAGGCTGGGTCTGTCTGCACATTCATGGAGGAGAGGGGGAGACAAAAAGGCTGACTTGAGAAGCAGCTTCCTCTTCCAGCTGTGCTCCTATGCCGAGACAGATGCTGTCAGGCAAGTTTCAGAGGAAGTCCCCAGCCCTTTCCCCTAGCTGCTGCTACTCAGTTACTTACCTAAGGTAGGACCTTTTTTCCTTTGTCCTGCTGTTCAAAAAAAGGATGTGTATTATAGTCAGCGATGAGTTATGTGTGATAAAACAGGATAGTTGTGCATGAATACAGAAAACTGGATTCAGTGACACAGACTCCTCCTAGTCCAATGTCCCTATGTTTATCACTTGCCTCCCTTTCCTGGTGCCTCTTTGTCTCCCTCTGATGATAAGGTGCTGATTCAAAACCACACCAACAAAAATGTTTCATAACAAAAAAAGTATATATTAATTCCCACAGCAATTTGCTCATCCCCATGCAGGCTGCAGAAGGTTGATTAGAGCTGTTTCATGCTCAGAAAAATAGTCCTGTGATGATGTTCTTCCACCTGCCTGTAGGAAGAAAGAAGTCCATTTTAAATCAGAGAGTAGAAAATCACTGTTAGTTTTACTTGATGTAGCTTCATTGGAGCCCTATTAAGGCAAAGCTTGAGCCACTTCTACAGCAGCATAATGTGGTGCAGCTGCATTGACTTCCCTGGATCTGTGCCAAGTCAGACCGGCTGAATAGTTGACCTAGGGGTTTTCTTCATTCAGTTTAAACTCCACTCCTTTCTCATTTACATCCAGGTAAGGAGATGGTTTGTGAACGGGACCGATAAGGACAACAAAACCACTAAAAAAAATAGGCAGCATGCTCCACACCACCAAGAAAAAAAATTCAATGCCAAGTCTTCTGTTTTGAAAGTAGTAGCAGAAGTTTATTGACAGCTGTTGCTAAAACAATACAATACAAAAAATGAGCAATAGTTACACATACCATAAGGATCATATGATCACCTCATAATTTGTGGTGACATCCCAATAATTACATTCTATATAAGGAAAATGTATACATTTATTATTTATTATAAATTTATTATAAATATCCATGTATGGAATCTAATTACTGGAGGATCATCTTAAATTTGTCCCCTCACTACTCCAGGCAGTGGTGGGGAGAGATGGTGAGGGAGGCAATAATGGGGTAGGCAGTATGAGGAAAGACTGGGGGAAGCAGTAGGTGGGCACATGGTATGGCAGGCAGTATGGAACAGGCAGTAGGAGGGCATGTGGTAGGGGGCTGTGAGAGAGTTGTCTCTAGTGGGTTATGGAATAGAGAAAATCTCACACAACTTACTGATTCGTTTGATGCACTGGCTGGGGGAGTATTTAGTTGATTGCACGATTTCACAATGATTGCACACTTAATTCATACAACACAATTTTATTTTAAAATTCTTTGCTACATATATAACACTGCTTAGCTTTAAGAAATACCACAAACATTAAGAACACAATAACTATGTATATCAGAAATAATGCTCCAAATGCACTTCCTTCCCAAACAATGCTATAAGAATTAGTATTACAAAAACAACTACAATTACAACTCAAAGTTAAATTTGAATCAGTACTATTATTTTTTATAATATACTTACAATCCTAGAATTCCGAGAAGCCAAACACCTAGATATGCTTTCATTCCTTAGTAGTACAATTTAATGGGTTGGCCTCAGTAGTACGGTTCAATGGGCTCACCTCAGCAGTACGGTTCAATGGGCTGGCCCCAATACTGATAGGACTAAGTCCCCTTCCTTCAGTCCCTTTCGGGATCTCCGCGGCTTCAGCGTGAACTAAGAGATTCGTGTTCACGGAGAGGGTGGTTCAGGTGATCAGTCTGATCCGGCCTACATTTGTGATCCTTCCTTCGTTGTTCTGCAAGTGAGGTTACCTCCAAATTGGGACAGTAGGTTACAGTTTTTATTGAGTGAGTTGCCGTCTTGGGCCCCTCCTACCCAAACCTGTCACTACTCCCAAATTTGGGCTCAGATCTTTCTTAACAGATTCCTGATGGGTTCAGTTTCTTTGGGGAATTTCCCCACCACTGCAGTGACCTTTCTTTCCAACTTTTCAAAGGCTCCTAGGGTTTGATTTCTTGGAATGTGGGATGTTTGCTTAAGGGTCGTTTTATGTTAACCTTGTTAAAGGCCTCTAAAGATAAAATTCAAGAGTTAAGACTTTGAGCAAAGCCCGGACCTTCCGCATGTGGGCCAAAACAATGGCCTAGATAAGAAGATGAATCTTGTCTTTTTCTAAACTGGCTAATGGGCAACTATTACAAACA